AGGGTTTTGGTTTAGGCCTTATAGGAACCTTTTAAGAAGCACGCACACCGAGAAGGCAGCCCTTGTGGCCGATATGCACCCTACACTGCTCGCCGAACCCTATGTCCGTACATCCTGAACATGTCAGAGCCAATCAGCACAAGACACTCTGTAAACCCCACAGACTCAAATGCCATTCTTCAGACTGGGTTAACAGGGAAGTGGGGGAATGCTATGCAACGCCCTTTCATGGGGCTCTCTTGTAAGCCGCAAAGCTGAAGTTCCAAACCCTTACCTCGCAAAGATGTCCGAGTAATCTGTCGAGCTGCCTCCATGGAAACTCCTGTCAAACTCCTCACGCGTTGTAGGGTTCGGCGCTTTGGGTGACAGGGTTTATACCCTCAAGCCTGACTCCTAAGCTGGAGAGTGTAAGTCAAGGGCTTTTAGTCAAGGGATCTGGGTTTGGTTGGTTCGTGGAACGTCAGGCTCCACGCAGCTGTAGACTTGATGGTGCAGGCTTTAGGCTTTGGGTTTAGGGCTCAGAAGCCAGAATAGCAGCCAACACAGTGCGAGGCGTAACAACAAGAAACTCAGACCCCAAATCCTGTGCCCTAGACCCTGAACCCTAAATGAATAGTGTTGTTTTGGTGGTTAGACCGGAATATATAAACACTATACCCCAAAGGAGGATATAATCTTACTCTATATTGGGTACCATAGTACCCCCAAATAAAACACTACTCGAATGCTATTTCGGCCCTAAATCCCAGAACGCTCCTCGTCCACTCCGTGCCGATCGTTAGCGGAACAAGCCCCGGGCGAACCCCGGTGACCTCATGGTGCAAGTGGTTTTAGGGATTAGGGCGTAGGGCTTAGGCTTTAGGCTTTGAGGTTTGGGATTTATGGTTTAGGGGTTAGGGCTTAAGTTTTTGGGTTTAGGTTCAGCTAGGTAAGTATACGTATTCCAAGCAGTGGAGATGCAAATGAAAATGGATAATGAAATGGAAACTGAGCGCGGATAGCGATTGAAGGTTGGACTTGGCTAGGTAGGTAGAAAATTGCAAAGCGAATGCTATCAAAAAAGGAACTTTCAGAGACTACAAAATATTACCCTAGACCCTAAACCCTGAACCCTTAACCCTATCTTGTGCTTCGTGGTTCGGGATTCAGGGCTTGGGGCTTAAGCTTCCCAACAGAGCTTCCACTAAGCTAGGCCAATGGGTATCCCGGCCGATTGCACAAAGCACCCTTTCTTGGGCGGGCTAGTTCATACTATTACGTCCAGGCGTCATGACTCCAATGAAAACTGGAGACAAAGCATGTCTGTGCCGACAACAACAATATCATCATCTTTCGCTCATAATTCCTGAGGGTTCCCAAGACCGATGGAACAAACTTCCCAGTCAATGTCGATGAGCCCGAAGCAGTTCTCGACACACTCGGTCGAGGGCTTGCAACAGAAGGGCCTATGTAGTTCGGTTTAGGGTTTTGGGTTTTAGGTTTAGTTGAGGAGGTTCCATGTCAGTTCTGTTGTTCTGTTCCACCTATCAAGGGTCTGGGTTTACTCCCCGCCCACTAACTGTCTTTGCACACCCAAATTCAAAACCCATCAAGCATTACACCCCAGAACTCTCCAAGCCTGCAATCTACACTCTACAATTGAGCTATAGTCTAAACTCCGAGTATCCCCCTTAATATCCCCTATAGTAGTCCCCTATATAACCCCCTACATAAGCCCCCTTAAGGAGTTTAGACCAAGGCTCAATTGTACATTCACAACGCCAAAACGTTCACGAGTCCTCACCTCCCCGACAAATCATCAACCCCGAACCCTGAACTGTGAACCCGAAAACCGACCCCTGAGATTTTGAACCCTAGTCTCATAACTCATAGACCCAAATCCCTAAAGCCTAAACTCTAAACCCTAAATCCTAAATCCTAAACCCTAGATCCCTAAACCTTAAACCCTAAAACTCACTTAATCGAAGCTTTGCCCAGATGCTTTAAACTTCCCTCCCTAAGCTCTATCCCTAAACATCCCTGTCTACCCCTATACATCCCTATATGAGCCATAGTCAAATTCCGAGTATCCCTCTTTATACCCCCTGTAATACTTCCCCTGAAGGAGTTGACACTATAGCTCATATGTGTTTATGCTCCCCCCCGGATCTACCATTTCCGGGTCGCTAAGCTCAAGACCCTGCTTAAAAACAGTAGAACTGGCTCTTCCGTGAAGCTGTCAAAGGCAAGGAGATTTGCTACAATCCAAACCATGGCAATTAATGGCAAACTCCATGGCTTCAAGCACTCAAATAACCATCCAGCTGCACAAAATCCCAGGACCTCACTTCAAAACAATAGAACTGGCCCTTTTGTCTTACTGCTATCTGCATCAGCCCAGGAGATCTAGATATTTCGAATTGTGGAAATCACGAGCCAATCCTCTGCTTCATAAGTGTCAGAGATCTCAAGCCGGTCTCAAGCCTAGGCTGGACTAGTCTGAAAAATTATGAAGATCATGGAAAAGTTGGTTTGTTTCACATTGTCCTCCATGGCTTTGCTTGGCAACCACTGTACGAACCTGAAACCCTAACTCAAAAACCCAAAACCCTTAATCTCTGAACAAATCAACCCCTGAGGTTCCAAGGACCCAAATAATAGGGGGCTTTAGGGCCCAAATACCATAACTATTACAGCGTTTGGGCCCTCAAAACCTATTGCTTGGGTCCTTGGACCCTTAGGGAATGATTCGCATGACTTTCCATGATTTGCAGAGGACCGAACCCTGGGCTGGGCCCGTCTGAACAATCATAGAAAGCATGTGAAACTGATGTTTTACAGTCTCTCCTATGACATGTCTTGAAACAGTGCACATAGAACACGAAAAATGATTTCCATGAGTTCCAGTCAATCTTAGGCCCTGGCATGGATTGGTCTGAAAAATCCTTGTTTCCAGACGAACAAAGGAAAAGAGTGGACAAGCCACGGTTTTCTAGAAATATGTTTAATTTCATGGAACCTGCAGGGCAGAAAAAGGTACCTAAACCCTATCCTGGAGCGCCAAAGTCAGTCCTAAACCCTAAACCGTCTCTAAACCCTAGACCTTGGGTACTACCCCCACCCAGTANNNCAACTGTTACTGAGGGGAGGCAGTACCCAACCTAGACCCTAAACCCCAAACCCTAAACCCTAAACCTGGACCCTACATCTCTAAACCCTAGACCCTGACCGGCCTCAAGCCCCAAATCATCTGCCAAGACATGGGCCAGGTCCGTCGCACCACCTTGAGAAGTGAGAGCTTTTAGCGGGGGCAAAGGGGGTGTGAAGGGGCTCTGAGAGGCTTCACGTTTAAAAAGGTTCAGGGCTTTAAGTCCTGGGGTTCAGTAATGCCCTAAACCCTAAACCCTAAACCCTAAACCCAAGTCCTGGGGTTCAGGAATGCACTCTTGGAACAACAGGCCTCGACAGAAACCCCTCGCGTCCCTAAGCACTATATACATATTCCTATATAACCCTATATATTTTTTAAAGGGACCTTGGGTTTCCATTTTCTTTTCCATTATCCCAATATAACCCCTATATAAACACCCCTACTGAGAACACCTAATTTCTAAACTGCCATCGCACAATATCCATAGCCAACATTGTTTCTTAATTTCGAAACGGGTGCGCGACCACGCCCAACTCTGGGGGGGACATAGCACAAGATCCATAGCTAACTTAGTTTCTTGAAGTTTGAAACTCGATAAACGTGAAGCGCCCGCGTGGACTTCCCAACCCCCCTCACGACAACCCCTACCCACTGAAGTACCATTCAGCTCCAGAGGGATATGTATGCTCAGGGGGTTTCTTATTACTAGGGTAGGCGATTAACCTAAACCGTACACCATTAACTCTAGATCCCAAAACGCTAGCTCTTGGGTAGAAAGGTGCAGGCTTTGGGCAGCTAGCTCTCTCTTGCTTTAAGGTTTATGTTGCAGGATTTTGTTGTAGGATTTTGGGTGTATGGTGGAGGGTATAGGGTTTGAAGTTTAGGATGTAGAGTTGAGCGCTTAGAGCTTGGGCTCTTTCGGAATAGAGAAACACGGATTTAACCCTTGTGGTTTTGTGCGGAATTGCGGCTAGGACGGAGAATTTGAATTACTCCCCTGCTCGGACAGCATCAAGCTTCAACACCACAACTCACGGCGTAGGGTTTAACGCTTTAATTTGGGTGTTAGATCCATGCCCCAAACCCTAAAACCCCCAACCCTTAGACCTGACTTCGAACTGCCCCAGACTCAAACCTCCCGCAGAGCTAGAAAGCCAAAACGTTCGTGCTAGTTCTTGGTAGGACAGCAATAATGGAAAAGGAAATGGAAGCCTTTTTGAAGGGGGAGATAGGGGTTATATAGGGTTTAGGGTTCGGGGCTGTTGTACTAGCCCCAAGAGCAAGCACATGGAGGAATATACCGCCTTAACCCGAGGTTCTAAGTACTCATGGCTGCGGAAACCTCTACGCTTGTTTGTTCTTGTCATTGTCCAATACCCCAGGCTCTAAACCCCAAACCTAGCTCTACAGCCTGAATCCCCAAACCCCAAACCCCCCATTTTCGCAGTCTCGACAAATTGCCATCCACACGGACGGTTGCAGATTCGTGCCTGCCTTGCTAGCAGCATCCTTCGCCGCAGAGGCGCTGAAGCAGGAGGCAAAAGACGTTAGAGTTGAGTGAGGGCTTTAGGATAGGTTTAGGGTTTAGGATTGCTAAGGCTCACGGTTGATGTCTGTTCTCAGGTGGGGTGCAAGGGGTTTAGGTGCGTAACTTTCCTTTGGGCTACCAAAACCTTGCAGAAAATCGACAGGAGTAAGGTTATTCATTATGGCGGCTCAGAGTTCTGCAATACTGAAGGAAACTGGTCGATCCGAGCATGGCTGTTGACAGGCATACTCGGAGAAGGCGGAAAAAACATGAACACCAAGCGAATTACTCTTGATGCACTCTGCTCATACCAGCGGTGCCAGGCCTGATGACATCTGCAGCTCAGGGGGTGCCAGCATCTGCCAAAGGACCAGCCACAGCTTCTTCCGAGTGAAACAACTGCGAGATTTCATAGTCCTGTAAGGCCACTTTCGGAAGGGCCCTTCGGATCCTTTGGGAGGCCAGGCGGCCACGCGAAAAGGATGACAGCCAGCAAGCGCTGCCGTCCAAAAGCAAAACCTCTTCAGGCAGTGCCCCGGGCACGCCAGCTTGTAACACGCATCGCCATCTCCCTGTGCCCTGGAGCGTATCCTCCTTGACAACCAGTCGCCCAACGCAATCGTCCCACGCAAGCCTGCGCATCTCATAGGTGAAGTGACCATCGGGGAGCAGCGACAAAGTCTCTCGTCTTTCCTCTTCCACATCCCAGCTCAACTCAGCTGAGCGTCTCAAGAAACACTTCTGCACATACCACTCTGGATGCTCCTGCAACACAACTTGGATGGTACAACCGACAATCTCCGCAGCACGGGTGCTGTGAGCCAGGGGTTCAGACTGAGTGCCTGCCTGCTTGAAAAACTGCAGCAAGGGACTCTCATCGGCACTTCCCAATTCTAACTCCCCAGCAATGAGCACCTCACAGGGTCCATGTCCAATCCATTTGGTCCTAAACCCGAAACCACTCGGCTTCAGAACTACCGGGGCCTAAGGCTCCTCGCCCTGATATCCAAAACACCCGATCCCCCCCCTTTTAAGAAATATTCCCAATATGTAAATGTACCACAATGAGATTATTCAATGTTAGGGGGCGTGGGGGGTTTTTGGGGGAGGTGATCACCAGGTGCTGACAGTCTCTCGAACCAGCTACCTGCAAACTCGCAACCTTGGTTGGGTTTAGGGTTTAGGGGTTCCAAAACTCCTCGAAAACCGAGATTGCAACAGGCCCTAAAACCCAAAGAAACTGGGGCTACATCGGGCCTGTTATGGTCCTGTTCGGAGGAACAGCACCCTTACTGCCTACTTGAGAGCTTCCAAAAAAATCAGAGTCTTTGTCATACAGCTAGGTAAGTATACTATGTAACACTAGTGTTATCCCGTCGCTTCCTAGGTCTATCAAGTCATTAGGGAAGGCACGCGGGAAAAGCTTTGGGGCTAAGGGCGTAGAATTCTTGCAGATTGGTAGACCCCGACTCGGCAACGGCAGCTACCACCCAACCGAACATGTGAGCTATAGTCTAAACTCCTCGTAGCTCCTGAATAGGCCCTATGATCATCCCCTTTCTAATCCCCTGCTCATCCGCGGGTATAGTACATTTGATAAAAGAACCTTGCAGGATGCTAAGGGGTTTAGGGTTTAGGTAGCAGGTACCCATGGGGGTACTAGGGGTAATTGGGGTTATACTGGGATAATGGAAAATAAGTGGAAACTACGATTAGGGTTTGGGGTTTTAGGTAAAGTACCTTGTGAATAGAGGTGCTACAATATGCTAGATGCACGTAGGATTGTTGGCGGCCCCAGACCCTAAACCTTAAATCCTGCAGTAAACCCTCAAACAATGTGTGCAAGTACTCCGCTCCCTCAACGTGCACTCCATGGCCCTGCAGCTAGCCCGGTACAAAACAGCACTCAAAAGGCCTCGGGGAATTGTAAATGGGGCTAGAACTACTATGATAACACTTCTGAGCTAACTTCAAGGACCTGAGCCATTTAGCTACCTGCATGCGACTGTAGTCTTCACCCGGCTACAACTCAAGCGTTTCCTGGCCTAGCCTGCATGTCCTGCAGTCTCTGAGTCTCCGTGCAAGAGATGACTGCAGCTCGTCCACTCACCAAACATACATCGAAGCACACCACCGCGCCAGAAAATGATGTGCAGCTCATGGCTTAAGAGCGAAGGGTATGCTTCGATGCCGGCAGGGGATATCTGATGTCGCTTGACGGCAAATATGCCTGCGGTTTCTAATGTTTAGGAATTTAGGGTTTCGCATAATTCGGCACCCTCGGCCTCAACTTAGAGAAACTCTAAACAAGGGTAGGCTTGCGGGGCATGTAAGACTTGAATTCTTATGGCTATGGCTATATGAATAATATATAACAATGGAAGGTAATAATGGCACTATCACAATTATACCTGCGCAGTTGCACTGCCCCACAGTTCTTACAGTAATCATATCAAAAATATTCTTACGAATAATAATAGTAAGATGATGTTTGTTAAAAGCGATGGCAGCGATGGTAGTTGAAATAAGAATTGGTACGAATAGTAATAGCACTATTGCTCAATGCAATAGTAATCGTGGTGGTTGTGGTGGTGGTGG